ATTTTTCCCTGTATGTTTTATTCTTTGTTGTTTTTCTTGTAGAAAACGATTAAACAGCATATCGTTTTGTTCCCCGTTTGTTTTCATATATTGTCAAAGACAAATACCACAATAACGCCACCCCGTGATCTATTTTGAAAATACAGAATCTCGATAATTAGGTCAGTCCAATGTCATTGCTCTGTGTTTAAACTTCTAAATAACTCCTGATGCTAAGGAATATCGAATAATTTCAGAAAAATTATATTGAATGTATGCTACGTGCTTAGCATTATACACATTTAATAGCTTGGATTAGAAAGCTCTGATTTGCCTTCAAGGTCTGTAGTCAATTAGCTGTAATATTAAAAATTACCCCTTGAGAGTTTAAGGAAGATAATTTAATAATAAGTTGAGGCTTTAAACAGACCACTAGGGGTCAGTGTGCAATTGGACATCCAAGGCACAGCACGGCACGTTATTAAAAACCAAAAAGCAAATGTCCATAATTTATTCATTTTATTTATTTAATTCATTTGGATAGCGAAAAGACACAAAATACCCTGACTATTCCTCCGGGAGGAGGGTACTGAGAGAAAACGAAAGAAGAAGAAGAAAAAAAACCCAGCACGGACCTAAATAAAAACTTCTCATCTTCTGTGTAGGAGCCGCTCCGATGCAGAGTGAGTCAGCAAGTCCTGATGCGCAATTAAAATTCATAACATACTGAGTAACTTTTCAAAGTTTCACAAGGGCCGACAATAAGGGGAAACTTCAGATCATCAGGTTTCATTCCAGTCTAGGGATCCATTTGGCATTAATATTACGGGATCACGCTGTAATTAGCAGGGCTTGCAGTCTGGGTGTACCTTGGCTGCATTGTCAGAGTGACAGGGATCAGCTGGCCAATTTGTATGCAAATAGGGTGAGGCTTAACCAGGCTTTGATTCGCCAGCAGGGCTCGCTGACATCAAGCCGCTATGAGTGGAATTCTTACGAAGCATCAGCTCCAGTGCGGAGACAAAGTATAATAGCTGCCATAAACATCAGTTCAGCCTTTGGTGTGTATTCTGTCAACAGTCCTTCACAAGAAATCTCTGCTTGGTTCCACATACTTCTCTGGTGAGCGCTAGATCTGAGCGAAACATACAGATTAGATGCTCTGTTTCGCGATGATACTGATAGGGGTTAGACATTGCAGTTTAGTGGGGGATGGAGAGCAGGACAGTGATCCACTACTGTCTCAGGGAAGTGAACGATGCTATCTCAGTTCCCCATTGAAGCTACATCAAGTGTCAGAAGCTCTGGAATCAAGGCTCAATAACTGGGAGAACTGAGTGCATTGGATTTTCAAGGACGCGACCTTGTGATTCTCTCCATCTGTGGCAGTGTTACAGAAGCCATGTGCTCGAGATGATGTATGAATGCTAGAAATGCAAATTAGGGCTGTCAATCGATTTGGCATCTTGATAGAGTCACAATAATTACGTTTAATTTATTCATATTAATTGTAATCAAATATAATTAAAATATATAAATATTCACCTTATTTTTCAGTGCAGAAGTAGCCTAAGCAATTTCCTGCGAGTGTGCGAGACTTCCGATTTATTAGCCACTGTAGGTAAACAAGTGGAAGAATACTTAACAGAAAACTATTTGTGCTGCAAACCAATATGTTTATTACAGCCTAATGGTAGTAAATTATATAATACAATAACAAATATGTCCACGAGTGCTCTTAAAGCAACAGTTCATCCAAAATGAAAATTTGCTGAAAATTTACTCACCCTCAGGCCATCCTTGATATAGATTAGTTAGTGTCTTCGTAGGAACAGATTTGGAGAAATTTAGCATTACATGACGTGCTCACCAATGGAGTGAATGGGTGCGGTCCAAGCAGCTGATAAATACATCACAATAAGCCACACATCTCCAGTTCATCAGTTAATGTCTTGTGAAGTGAGTGAAATGCTTCATCTCTAAAAAGGCATTATCAAATTCAAATATATCCTCTATCTGTAATATTCTCCAGTGGAAAAAGTTGTCTTGTCTGAATCAGGAGAGAAATATGCCGAAATCAACCACCATTTACAAGCAAAAACTGTCCAAAGCAGCTCTTAAGAGTTAAAATGCCTTAATGATGGATTTTATTTTTTTTACAAACACAAGATGTTAATTGGACTGTAATCGTAGATCAATTGTGATATACTGTAATGTTTTTATGAGCTGTTTGGACTCTAATTCTGACGGCACCCATTCACTGCAGAGGATCTATTGATGAGCAAGTGATGTAAATTTCTCCAAATCTCCATCTTATTGGATGGCTTATGGGCGAGGTAATTTTTAGCCCATTTTCATTTTTGGGTAGTGTTTGTTGTATTTAATATTAGTAAAAAATAAAATAAAATTAAAGCTGCAAGCAGCAATGAACGGGCCCTCGCACCCGGGCTCACCGCCACCCGGTGGCTTTAGGAAAACAGCAATCAGTGGGCAATATGCAATAAGTGGTAAATATAGGAGGAATATGTCAAAGTCATTTATATGTGCCAAACTTCCTGCTGCCAGCTGGTGGCGCTATGATTATAACTGGATGTTGGCATATAGGGTCCTCACACCATCGGTGCTCGGGCCCTAATAATGTGGTAGCCTAACAACACTAATAGAAATCTAATAAAATATGGGTATGCTTCCTGGTCAGAGAGAAATAAATGACATACACACTTAACAAAGAAAAACAGTACAATTTAATTTTTTACAATTATTTATCGATTAACATAGTTCAAATGAAATATCATATAGCTATACTCGTGAATATTCGTACATACATGATTATTCAGTATTCATGATGAACATTATATTCTGTAATATTTTGAATCTGAAGCATGTCATATTACATATTGTTACCATAATTATCATCATCATAATCATGATACAGTGAAACACTGACCAAATATGGCAAGTCTGGTCATCTTCCAACTCAACAAAATAAATAAATAATAACTGACGGCAGTTGTTCATATTCAATGTGAAAATATTGCACTAATATGTCTATGAGTTCTAAAGGGGACATATTCCAGGAGGACGCTGGTTAGGAAGGAATTTCTTTTTTTGATGAACTGAAAGTGCATTGTAGACTGATGCATAATGACGCAACTTGTCCATCGTGGATATGCCATATGTCTTAACCATTTTGCCATACAGTGACCATAAATTCTGTTTTGGATTATTACAATTCTCGAACACCAAAAAGGAATGAGCATCCTTTATGAACACTTAGGCCACCAATACTTCTCGGTAATTATGTTGAATTATGCTGTATTTTTTAAAAATGCTACTGTATAACAATCATTAATGATACCTCACTTTGGTTATGATAAATAATAAATGCACAGAATATTATAAAATGCTACAACATAAATGCACAGTAAAACACACATACTGTACACACACACTCAGACCTGAAAAAGAGAAATATTACAGTGTAATGTGTGCTCTGTAATACTAACAAAAAGCTCTTTGATGCTTTGATATTTAACTCATTAATATTCAACATCACGTATAACACTCTCATTTGCATTTTGCCTTGCAGTTTTATCCGACTTCAATGCAGGGAATGATGTTAACTTGGAAAAAATCAGGGTCTGAAAATGAAAATAATGATATGATAATCAAATGCATATTGCAAGAATGGAAGATAATTGAGAGTGGAAGGACCGAGTGATGCATAATGACAGTATCTGCAGACTGATGATGACAGTATATAGTTAAAATTATGAATATATAGATTAACAAAACACACACATACACAATAAATAGATATATACATAGACATGTAATATAAAATCATATAAATTATACAATATATAATAACCTGGGACAAAGCAGGGAATTTTCATGATCCATCTGTGTAAGTTTTGCTCAAAAGGAAGGACACTTAGAAAAATACTATTCCTCCTTTTACCACCAGCCACATATGGCATATCATAGCAGGTGCTAGGCTAACTATTGTGTTAGCAGAGTTGTTTTTATTGTAGTCTGCTGTACCTCTGCTGAAATACATTTTAAATGGTTAAAAAGGTTTAATTTCACAGATATGAAATACAATACATACTAACCAAAACATGTATTGCACAACCAGAAAGCATATATAACTTCATGCAAATTGTGGGGTATAGGCTTACTGCATTATATAAAATGTGCATTTGAACAGATGCAAAACAGAAATGAAACATACAAACCCAAATTCAAACATGACTTTGTAATTACAGTTCTTAACTCATAAGCTTTGGTAACTGCAGTGGGCTTTTTTATAACAGCGTCATATTATTAGTGTCGTTGCCATTGTCACAATCACCCAGTATCTTTTGTTTGACAGGAAGAAAGCTGCAATTTAGAGTTCAACCTCCGTGCATGTACAAAAACCAAGCATACAGTTTTATTGCTTAAGTACTGCACAAGTTCACATACAAAGCACATACAAAATGATTGCAAAACATTCTTAATATTCTCGGTTCTGTTGTGGAAGTGAGGGTGTCGTTCCCTGGTGTCCAGACACTAAGGCAGTATTGTTACAAAAAGGAAAGGCCATAGATACTGAGCAGTACTTCTTCGTCAGCAAGGAGGTATGTATGGGGTCAAGGTCTAGCGGAAAGATCATACTAGGTCTAGGTAATTGGGATGTTGAGGGCTAGGTTTGTTTGTGTATGTGTGAACGTTTCTGTGCACATGTGTGTATATATCTGTGCCACCTGCCCAGAGAGACCTGTACGGCGTGTTCTTTCATAGTGACAGATGATGCCCGACTGATGAAGTGCGACGAATGTAGCTTTGCTTCCTTGACCCAGCATAATTCCCTCCTTTAAAAAGAGCACACTATTATAATGACAATAGCAATCGCTCGCGCACACACACAATCACAAACATACGTACGTCCTTTAGAATTATTACTTTGAAGTAACTTTTTTGTTTGTTTTTTGGAAGTCATAATTTGCATATCCCTATACAGTCTTATCATCAGACAATAATATTGCAAAAATTACTGACAGAACTTGGAAGACAAATTTAAGTCACACCTTCATTCTTCGGTCAGTTTTGTTAGTCCATTCCTTCTTTTGGCATTACAAATAGGGAAGTCACTGGACCGATAGAAATCCGAGTCAATGAACATACACCCTCCTTCTCTGGTGAGAAATGTCAGTGTCTTTTGACGTATTAAAAAACGTTGCTCGCTCATCGTAGGAGGGTGCAATCCATTCTCACAAGTTCGATGGGAGTTTGGGGTGCAAGCTTGGAGTCCCAGGGGTGGACCTGTCACTAGATCCATGGGCTGGTGACCCACCTGATGACCCAGTCTGAGTTATGGACAACTTGGAAGTTTGTCTTGATAGGACAACGTGACCAGGTATTGAGCTAAATGGTTTCATAAGGGGAGGGGGTGACGGGAGCGGCGAGTAACCTGAAGCAGATCCTCTGTGATGGGATAAGTCCGGTGGTTGAGGTCCTCTTCCAGCCGGCTTGGACTTTTCAGGTAGTCCTGGGCTGGGGAGAGACATGGAAATGGTGCTCAAGTCTTGGGTAGGTAGGTCAACTAGAGATCCGCCCCTTTCTCTTGGTTGAGGTGGCGGTGGGAAGAGTGTCTGAGGGGTTAGGAGTGAGCTTTGGGATCCAGAGATGCTAGCAGGGTGGCTGTGCATGGACATTCTCATCTTCTCCACTGTAGGACTCTGACATGTTGGGCTCCAGGCTGAAGGTGTGCTACATGGGGATGCATTTCCGGACCCATATTGTGCAAGGGAAGCAAGAGCAGATGGTTCTTGGGAAAGCTGGGAAAGTACATCCGTCTGTAGACCAATCTGAGCGTGTTGGGACTGGAAACTTTTTGGACTCAGGACTTGTTCAATAATGCTCCTGGGGCGGACAGGGGACTCTGTTATAGGAGACTGAGAGGCTGTCCTTACAACTTTATTCAAATCTTGAATTGGTTTTGTTTGTTGAGGAGTTGGCTGAGCTGAATGCAGTTGGGTCAGGATTGGACTTACTGAATGCGCTATCAAAGGAGTAAGGGTGGATGAAGGGGGAACTGCAAGCTGGACAGCCTCTCCTCCAATTGCTCCTTGTTGGAAGAACCCAGGAAGTGTTGCAGCAATGCCAGGGAAAGACGCCTGAGGAAGTTGTGGTTGGGAATGAAGTTGGGCAATACTGAAGTCTTTGGACCCGTGGGAAGCAAGGGGTCTATGGGGGTAGAAGGAAGACTCTGTGATGTTGGAGGTGGTGGTGGTAACTGTTGTTGTGATGGTGGATGGCAGAGAGCTGGAGGACGGTGGTGGAGGTGTGTAGGTAGATGATCTCTCGGTCCTGAGTGTGTCCAGAATTGGGGTCTCCATACAAGAGCTGAACTGCGAGCTGGTTGAGGAGGAGCCACCAAATGCAGCAGCACCTGAAAGTGCAGTTGGGAACATTTTTACATACCCTGGTTGGTCTTTCAGAGAGCCAAGCAGCGGGACAGGGGGTCGGAAGAGGGTATGGGGCAAATGGGGGTGGCGAGTTAGGGCAATGGCGACTGAAGTGGTGGCTGCGACAGCTTGTAGAGGAGCCTGAATAAGAGGTGCCCAGATGACGGGGGTGTGGGAAGATGGAGTCGCTGCTGGGTGAGGAGCTGGAGGAGGTGTCTGCATGAGGTGGGCACAATGGGCCATGTCCCTGTCATGCTGTACAATCTGCTGGATGATCTCATTTTCTTGGTAGTTCAGAACTCCGGAATTGAGATCCCGTTGGACCTTGTGCTGGAGTACAGAGTTTCGTTTTCCTGAGGACATAAAAGGAAGACAGAAATAAAGAATGTATTTTGATTTAAGCTTTAAACATGTCAACATGTAAGGCTGGGAAAATTTACATGTTTATTCGATTTTAAATGATGCTATTAAACAAATATTATTTAAATTATTAAAATAATATCCTTACATGCATTATCAACATGAAATCAAAACTGACCAAATTTACTGTCTTATTGTGAACTATATATCTGCGCATCCTGCTACTTTCCTTTTCCATGGACATCACTTCAGCTGGGGGTGTTCATTCCTGCTCCAGGAAAGCCACCTTCCAGCAAATTGTAGCCCCAAACCTAATGAAACACACCTGAATGAGCCAATCAGTGGCTTTAGGGTCGTTAGAAACTTCCAGGTGGGTGTGCTGGAGCTAAACGCTGCAGGAAATCGCGCGCATACAGTCGTGAGTTTCTGCTCGATGTCGGCAGAACCACATATTTAGAGTTAAACTCTGCGCACGGCCCTCCAGGAGCAGATTTGGACACCCCTGACTGAAAGGGATAGTCCACCCAAAAATTTTAAATATGGATATTTTTCTTACACAAATGCATAATTCAGTTAATAAAACAATTCAGAAGGCCTTTATTAACCCCACAGGGCCGCGTGGAGCACTTTTCATGATGGATTGATGCACTTTTTTGAGCTTAAAAATCTCAACCCACATTCACTGCAATTATAAAGCTTGGAAGAGCCAGGACATTTTTTAATATAACTCCGACTTTGTCTGAAAGAAGAAAGTCATATACACCTAGGATGGCTAGAGGGTGAGTAAATCATGGGGTAATTTGAATTTTTTCACAGGAGTTGTGTGATGAAAGTTAGTCAATAGACACAATTTTCTCATTAAATATACTGTTTCAATTATCAACATCACATTATGAAAGTAAAAATTATGAAAGTTGCAAACTGCAATGTTGATTTCAGACTGAAAAAATTACAATAAAAGCAAAGAACAAGATGCGACCACTTATTAAACTCTCCACTCTTCAAGGACATCTCAGAGCAGCTGTGAAAAACATAGACCTATTGAACTGACAGCTCTCACCTATGCGGTCAAGCCGATCGAGGGCTACGGTCTCAAAGGCGCGTCGCATCATAGGGTACTCCTCCAACACCTCGTTGAAATGGTCCACAGAGAGCGAGTACAGACGACAGTATGTGTCTGCTCTTACGCTGGCTGTTCTTCTGCCTCGAGTCAGCAAACAGATCTCTGTGGATGTTTTGCAATATGAGCAAATTGAAAGCAACATGGGAAGAACTTGTATCCTACTCTTCTTGTAAAAGCAACCATGCGGAAAGAACATGTACAATTTTACAATTATATATATATTTCAATCATGACAACTCTCGGAACATTTTAGCATGGTGATGGATATGACAATGTTAATGTATTTGGTCTTGGCGGAACAGATGCCGCTGCTGCTGCTGCTGAATTGCTGCTGCTTTTGGTTATTGCTGTAGTTGTAGATTATTGCTGCTGCTGCAAGCAAGTACAGGAACTTGCTACTATGTATATGGCGATACGGTGCCATGAGTATTTAAGACATAATAGCATATAAAATAACCCCGTAGCAGATCTATACAGGTGGAGCTGGGGAAGGTGGAGGGTTTCAGAGAACTCTGAAAGCGTGCTGCAGGAATCTCAAATGAATGCTAGCCAGTCATATAAATGCACGGCAGTAAGCTCATTGGCTGCATATGCAGCATGAACCAATCAGCTTGTGCCAAGGCATTTAACTCTCTGAATATCATCAGTTACGTTAACACCCTGTCAGAATGCGCCATCTAGAGTTTCATGACTGAACTATATATATATATATATATGTACTTTTATGTATATAAATAATAGAATGAAGAGTAAATGAATGTATGAATGGGTATACCCTAGTATCTAGCCCCTAACTGAGCATTAAACATAAATGTTTCTTCAGCCTAAATTTAGAGCACTCCAGCACTATTAATATGTGCATAAATTCACAATAGTGGGAACCATGAATTAAATATACTTGCTGTAAATGCAGTGACTCAGACTTTATATACTTTGAGGCTGCTTTTTTGAATGGTCTTTAAAATACCATTTTGACAGCTTCGAGTTGTACTCAGCCATCATCTGTCCAGTCAGATCACAGAGTAAAAGCTCTATCTCAAATACAGAGGAAATTTCTAAGCGACAGACAAGCAGGAGGTTTGAGGAGAGGACACAAGGGACTGTCAACACTAATGTAGTAATTGGGTGTTCTCAGTCAGTATCTCGCCTTCGCACCTAAGAAATACAGTTTTACTGTTTCCCCAAAAGTTCACTGACTAGTTCATACCATTTTTAAAAGCTAACGAAGTGAATTTGCGTGATTCTCTGTACAACTTTATGGAAATTGTACAGTTAAAGCTGCTAGGCATTGTTTGACAACTCCCACAAAGCTTCACCACTGAATTGCATAAACTAGATCACAGTTTTTTTCTTGTTTTAAACATAAATCTCGTAATGTCTTACAACAAGCAATGACAATTACTTATTAATAAACCTAATTCAAAATATATTCTGATTGAAACTGATTCTGATTGGATAACACATGTGCTCAGGTTCATTTAGGCTGTCAGACTGTCACAGAAACAAAGTTTTACTGCTCAAGACAACTATTTCATTGATCGGTTAGGTACTCAGACATTTATTTAAAGGGATAGTTCACCCAAAAATGAAAATTCTGTCATTAATTACTCACCATCATGTTGTTCCAAACCCGTAAGCTCTTCGTTCATCTTCAGAACACAACTTAAAATATTTTTGATGAAATTTAGGAGCTTTCTGATCCTGCATAGACAGCAACACAACTGACACGTTCAAGGCCCAGAAAGGTAGTAAGGACATTGTTAAAATATTCCATGTGACAAAAGTGGTTCAGTCATAATTTTATGAAGCTACAAGAATAATTTTTGTGCACAAAGAAAACAAAAATAACAACTTTATTCAACATTATTCTCTTCCATGTCAGTCTTCGTCAGAACTCCGGCTCCTGCATCAGCAGCAACACACGCGTGAGTCGTGATACTCTCGTGAATGAGCATCAAAGACTGACACGGAAGAAAATAAATTTTTGTTTTCTATTTGCACAAAAAGTATCCTCGTAGTGGAATTACAATTGAACCACTGATGTCACGTGAAATATTTTAACGATGTTCTTACTACCTTTCTGGGCCTTGAACATGTCAGTTGCGTTGCTACGAAGAATCAGAAAGCTCTCAGATTTCATCAAAAATATCTTAATTTGTGTTCCAAAGATAAACGAAGGTTTGGAACGACATGAGGGTGAGCAATTAATTACCCAATTTTTCATTTTTGGGTGAACTATCCCTTTAAATAAATGTTCTTACTACCTAACCGATCAATGAAATAGCCATCTTAAACAGTAGAACGTTGGTAGTGTGATAGTCTTTAAGTGTTGTATTCTAATAATAACAGCTTATAACACTTTTGAAATTACTAAGATATTTTTTCATGCTTGCATGTGTGCAGCTGATGTTAATGATGGGTACTGAAAAACAAGAATACTATGGGGATAAACAAGGTGCTTTTGGACCTTCAAGAACCTGAAAGATAAAGTGGTGTTGTTTGGGAAAGACAGAGGGGTAGAGGAGGCTGTAGAGATTATTCTCATTCTCTTTTTTCTCTCTGTCTAATCGTCATGGCCAGAGTCATAAAGAACATGCTGCCAAGTGCCACTCCATCAGAGCACTCACACTCACTAGCACACATCCTGAGGTGGAAAGGTGGGAGAAGGGTGGTGTGAGGGTCGGGGAAAATGTAGAAATACAAATAAAGAATCAATGACATGGTGCATAAAAATGCAAAGACAACATGGTTTTGAACACATTACCACAGTGATACCAATGTTTTTGACTCTATTATGAGGCTTTCCATTGCTATTCTTTCATATACCATTAAATATGAATCTCATATTCATATTTCATGGTGTATAAAAGTATAGCAATCATATAGTGCCATGAGATATCTGCTGTGATTTCCTTCTCAATTGATTATTTGATTATTTGACTGCTGACATTTTTACACATACAAATTTCTTTAAAATTAATTGTATACATAGTAATTGGAATAACTGAATTAAAAATGCAAATAAATAAATTGTATACACTACCGTTCAAAGTTTTGGTATGGTAAGATTTTAAAATGTTTTTGAAAGAAGTCTCTTATGCTCACCAAGACTGCATTTACTTGATCAACAATACAGCAAAAACTGTAATATCGCGAAATATTATTAATATAAAAAAATGTAAGTATAATTTAAAATGTATTTTTATTCCTGTGATGGCAAAGCTGAATTTTCAGCATCATTACTCTAGTCTTCAGTGTCACATAATCCTTCGTAAATCAGTCTGATATGATGATTAGCAGTTTATCAATGTGTAGTAGTTTATCAATGCTGAAAACAATTTTGCTGCTTAATATTTTTGTGGAAACTGTAAAACATTTTTTCAAGATTCTCTGATGAATACACAGTTCAGAAGAAGAGCAAGAACAGCATTTATTTGAAACATAAATGACTGTCTTTGTTGTAAATTTTGATCAATTTAATGCATCCTTGCTTCTTTAAAAATAAATCCTACTGACCTCAGATTTTGAAAGTCATTATATAAAATTGTGTGCGCTGTTTCACATTCTATTTTTTTTTAAATAGGAAAATAGTGGACAGTATACAGCATACTGTATACTTTGCAGTGTGTAGTACTAGTATTGTATTCTCAACTTAACCAGATAGACAAGAGAAAGAACAGATGACATATGGGGACTGGGTGAGCTCAGTACTAGGCCAGAATCCAGCCTGCTCCGCTTTTCTGCACTTTCACACAGCGTTTATGGGAAAAGAGATTATGAGCGGCTTGTTGAACATGTAATGACCTCAAACAAGCCTGGGCAGAAGGAAAGTTTTTTTTTTGGAAAATATGATGACATTTTTTTTCTTGACTAAATCTGCAGCTCACTGATAGCACAAACTACTTAGTTGTGATCCCAGAACCGCGCAGGAGACAGTAATAGAGTTTATAATGGCACAGAAAGCCAGGAAAGAGGCTAGCTTGCATTCGGAGACCAGGTGGTGTATAATTCATTTCAAAATATTTGCATCACCCTCATTTTCTTCAGAAAATAGAGCGTGTTGATTTGTTTGGTAGACTCACTATTTGCATACAAGGTAAACTATAATGTGAATAAATTGTATTTTTGCAATTTAAAAGGCATTTAATAATGGACAACATATAAATGATGTCTTCATAAATGCCAAAATTAAAAACAGAAAATGTACAAGACAAGAAAAAAGAATAAATCTATGTGGATTCGAACAATGGTAATGAGAAAAACTGCAGTGAAAGCCTCTGATGACAAGGCTCAGCTCAAACTGTTATCTTCCCCTCCTTCCTCAATCTTGTGAGGGAAATTAATTTCATGAATGGTTAACTTATGCTGGGTGAGGAATTTCCCCAGGCTCCTAAAGCGTGGCCATTCCCTGATTTGGTTCCCTGGGAGAACCAGCCGATAACACTGAAGAACATGGTGGTACCAGCCTGAACATTAAGCACATAAAACCTCTCTAATAAAAACACAAACTTATTTGCTGCAACTTAAATGCCAATTCATCCGCATTAGCTTCTAAAATAATCTGCCTTAAAGAATAAAAAAAAAGAATCAAATGAAAGTTGCATCAAACCATCCAATCCAACAATATCAGTGTTTTCTTACCTCCAAAGTAAGACCCATCCGAGATCTTTGTCTCTTTGCTGCCCTTTGTCAGAACAGTTAGTACACCGTGTTGGATGAAATACATCTTCTTGCCAACGGTCCCCTCTTTGATAATGTAATCTCTTGGCTGGAATACCTCGAAACGTAACTTGGTGAGCATGGAGGTCACAAAGTTGGGATCTGCGTTGGCGAACAACGGCATGGAAGCCACAAGCTTTCGGCAGTTAAAACTGATGATTTCCTGTAAACGAAGAATGTCAACATAAGTGTATAGAACTGTTCAATACTAGAATACAAGCTATGCAATGAAAGTATACACTAACTGGCTTATATGTTACTACTAGGGATGGAACGATTACCGGTTTGACGATAAATCATGATAAAATTCCCCACGGTTAGTATTACCAATTCATATTTTAACTATCATTAAAACCGTATTCGATTACCGTGATTTGAACAGTTGAGGATAAATAAATACTATCCAGCATAAAGCACAGTTTTAAGTAACAGTTTCACGTGTGCACAGCACCCAGAGTAATTTTGTTTTGTGTGAAAACATGACGGAAAAGCTGAGAGGTTTTAAAGGGGTCATATGATGCGATTTCAAGTTTTCCTTTCTCTTTGGAGTGTTACAAGCTGTTCGTGAATAGATAAGATCCCTAAAGTTGTAAAGACTAAAGTCTCAAACCCAAAGAGATATTCTTTATAAAAGTTAAGACTGGTCCCCGCCTTCCTAAAACGCCTCATTTAAACACGCCCCCACATGTCTATGTCACTGTGTGGGAAGATTTGCATAACGCCGCCCAATTGTTCACGCAAAGAAAGAAGGCGTAACTTTATTGTTTCTGCCGCCGCCACCATGTTGTGAAGACGCTGTGTGTTTTGTTTAGTGAAAGCGAAAATACTTTGTTTGGCTTTCCAAAGGAGAACACGACTAATAATCAGTGGTTAAGTTGTATTTACAACACTGTTCCAGAACAGTTCAACCCAAAAATTCAGATGTGTGCAGCACATTTTATGGAGGACTGTTTCCTGATCCTGGTAGAGTAGACTACAATGCCGGCTGTTCTGACTCACAGACTGTAAGTACGTTTTTTTATATTTAAAGCGAGTTTTTTTGGGCAGTGTAGAGTAGGGCTTGTTGTTTGTCATTTCTCCGATTACAAATGCAGACATGGTTTTATGTTTATGCAGCGCGATGCAACGCAATGCGTAAAAAGATAGTATAAGTCATCATCCGGGACACGGCATCACAATATGGTAAGGGGCGTAACATTTCCGTCACACACTTGAGGTATTCGGCCAATCACAACACACTGGATAGCTGGCCAATCAGAGCACACCTCGCTTTTCAGACCGATGAGCTTTGTAAAAATCGACGCGTTTCAGAAAGGCGGGGCATAGAGGAGAAACAATAATGTACTGTATGTGGAAAATAATGTGTTTTTTGAACCTTAAACCGCATAAACACATTTCATTACACCAAATACACAAAATAATATTCTTTTTAGCAACATCATATGACCCCTTTAATAGAGTGCTAAGGGAATTATACAAAGGAATATATGAATGAATTGATTATATAAATGTACATCGGCAGGTTCTGATTATCTTCAGAAAAGATTTGATGGCATTTTGTTTTCATCTTCGCTCTATGTAATACCTAATAAAGTAGCAATGCTGCTTTGTCCACGGAGATTACTGAAACAACACTAATTCTAATGTTCCATAAGCGCCACCTGCTGTCAGAAAGTGGATTTACAGAGCGTTACATTACTACTAACCTCTCTGAGTGGTTCGTTCAGTTCTCCCAGAATGCTCTCCTCATCGAACATCTTCCCCTGATAGCGATGCTCATAGTAATCATGAATCCTCTGCCGCATGTCTGCAGGAAGTTTGTGGAACGACATGTACTGCTCCACCTGCTTGTACTGTACAAATGACATATACACTATATTATCAACCTGAATATTACATATTTGTGACCCTGGACCACAAAACCAGTCATAAGGGTCCATTTTTTAAAATTGAGATTTATACATCATCTGAAAGCTGAATAAATACAATATTTGGCTGACCTTTAAAGTTGTCCAAATGAAGTTCTTAGCAATGCATATTATTAATCAAAAATTAAGTTTTGATATAGTTATGGTAGAAAATTTACAAAATATCTTGGAGCATGATCTTTACTTAATATCCTAATGATTTTTGGCATAAAAGATACTCAGCCTCATGTTGTTCCAAACCCGTAAGACCTCCCTTCATCTTCGGAACACAAGTTAAGATATTTTTGATGAAATCCGAGAGCTCTCTGACCCTCCCATAGACCGCAAGGGTCTTAACACGATCAAGGCCCAGAAACATAGCAAGGAGATCGGTAAAATAATCCATGTGACATCAGGTTCAACTGTCATTTTACGAAGCTACGAGAATACTTTTTGTGCGCAAAAGAAAAAAGAAAAATGACTTTATTCAACAATTCGTCTCCTCTGCGTCACCCTGTAGCGCCATTTTGGAGTATATCCACTGAATGTAAATTGCGTATGCTGTTTTGTGTCAGCTGCACCACGCGGATACGTTGTTTTCGTTCTAATCAAAGCGTAAACAACGTAAAAACAGTGTATCCACGTGGCACAGCTGACACAAAACAGCATACGCAATTTACGTTTTTTTTACTTTTTTTCTTCTTTTGCGCTCAAAAAGTATTCTCGTAGCTTCGTAAAATTACGGTTGAACCCCTGAT